ACAGCTTTATAACGATTGTTGTTATTGTTGCTGAACTCCCACTACTGATAAAAATAATTGTTGCTGATCCCCCTCCGGTGACCACTGTTTGTTGCAATTGAAGTGTTCCCCCGGGGTTCGCACCTTGTTTTTAATTAGGGCCGCTGGCCCCTGGTTTGCGCTAGCAGCGGCTCCCGCCTGATGGTTCTCCACCATGTATTCCCAAGTCGCGCGCTCGCGCGGGACTTCGTCACAATTCATGTACGCATCGCGTTCTCGCGTGGGATTTCTTTGCCAGTTATTCAGACGATGCGCCCTCGGCGCTCAGGAATCACGCTCTCGGTTTTTGTTTCTCGCAAGATGTATTTGGGAATCGCGCTATCGCTCGAGATTTCCTCGCGATCCATGCAGAACCCACGTTTCAGCAACCCGCCTGCTCGACCTGGTCGCCTGGGCCCGCCTTCCCGACCTGCCCGCTATGGGTCTGCCAACCCGATCTGCCCGTCTGGTCATACCACTTGTTTTCTGTTCCGTGCCCCATTCCTGTTGATTTCACTCGTGCTCCATTAATGTCCCTCCACTTTCCACCCGCCCTTTCTTCTCTTCCTTTAGGGGCTGCACTACATGCGCGTGGCAGGTAAGGAAGATATACACACAAGGGGGTACGACCGATGACGACGAGGGCGGGTATCGAGGGTTTGGGATATACGGGTTCATTGGCACGTGAGCAGATAAGAGCGAACAGTATTAACACGAGTGTTGTTGTTGCTGTTGTTTTTTGTATGCGTTGTTTTTCTTACTGGTTTGATTGTTGTTGTTGTTGTATGTTGTCGTCCCCCCCGAGACCCGGCCCACGACCCACCCGCGACCTACTCCGGACCCATCCGAGACCCACCCGGGACCCACCCGCGACCCACCCCGCGACCCACGACCTTCCCGCAACCCATTCGCGACCTAAGCAGCGACCAATCCGCGACCGACCCGCGATCCACCCGCGAACCACCCGCGAATCAGGCCCGCGATTCACCCCTGACCCACCCGCAACCCACCCGCGACCCTTTTGCGACCCCCCCCGTGACCAACCGATTTTGCTTTAGCGAAGAAGTCTGCGCCTGCGGCGGGCTCGTTGTATAATTTGAAAAAACTTGGCGCCTGCGGCGGGCTAGTTCAGAGCCTCGCAGACTGCAGACGTCCTCGCCGCCCCCTCGTATTCGCAATTGCGGGGTGCTACGTGATCTGATGAGTGGGCTTGCGCGCATTAGAAGTAGCTGGCGTTGAGATTGATCGGTCGTACGTCGCGAATGCGGCAAAGTTCACGACATTTGCGACGCTGGCTGCAACGAGTGGGTGCACAACTTGCTATGAGCCGACGGGGATGCGAGTCGCAGCGGGGGTAGGGTGGGGTGCGGTTGGGAGAGGTTGGTGGGGTGTGCGGGGGACTCGGGTGGGGGGAGGAAGGGGCGAAGTGGGAGGACGAACGAACGGAGAAAGGAGAAGTTCAGGATCAAGCCCTGGAACCTTGATCGTTGCACGCATTGAATCGCTTCGCTCATTCCGCCGGCCCGTATTGTGCCATCGCGGGGTCTTGGGGGGTCTTGGGAGCCCTTGGAAGCTTCGTGGGAGCTTCTTGGGAACTTTGGGAGGCCTCGTGGATGGCTCTGGGTGGGCTCTCTTGGTGGTCTCTGGGGGGGGTCTGCCTGGCCTTTTGGGGGCCTCCTGGGAGCTTCCTGGGGGTCTCTTGGGGGCCTCTTGGGGCTTTCTTGCGGCCTGTTGGGGGCCTCTTGGGGTTCTCTTGGGGGCTTCGTGGGGCTACTTGGGGGCTTGTAGGGGCAGTTCGGGGGCGTGTTTGGGCGGGAGGCTCAAAATTTCCGTTCAGGTTGCCCTTGTGGACCTCAATCATGGGGCCGTCTTGGGGCCTCTTGGACCGTCTTGAAGGTTTCTTGGGCCTTCTTGGAGCGCTCTTGGGCCGTCTTTGAGCGGTCTTGAGGGTCTCTCGGGCCGTCTTGGGGTGATCTTGGGGGCCTCTTGGACCGCCTTGAAAGGTGTGAGAGACGAAGAGGCGGATATGTTAAAAATGCACGCTTTCCTAAGGGAATGAGACGATTTTTGCTTGTGGGAGCCCTCTTGGGACGCCGCTTAGGGACCTCTTGGGGCGTCTTGAAGGCCTGTTGGGCCGTCTTGAGGCCATCGTAGGCGCTTGGGGGTGATATTTCGGCGTCTCCCGGCTCTCTTGGACCGTCTGGAGGGCTTCTCGGGCCCCTCTTGGACCGATTTGGAGCCCTCCTGGGCTCCGAAAAAGAGTTCTTGAGGGTTTCTTGGGCCTTCTTGGAGCGCTCTTGGGCCGTCTTTGAGCGGTCTTGAGGGTCTCTCGGGCCGTCTTGGGGTGATCTTGGGGGCCTCTTGGACCGCCTTGAAAGGTGTGAAAGACGAAGAGGCGGATATGTTAAAAATGCACGTTTTCCTAAGGGAATGGGACGATTTTTGCTAGTGGGAGCCCTCTTGGGGCGCCGCTTAGGGACCTCTTGGGGCGTCTTGAAGGCCTGTTGGGCCGTCTTGAGGCCATCGCAGGCGTTTGGGAGTGATATTTCGGCGTCTCCCGGCTCTCTTGAACCGTCTGGAGGGCTTCTCGGGCCTCTCTTGGACCGTTTGGAGCCCTCCTGGGCTCCGAAAAGGGACCTTGCCGGGACCTTGCCCTGGAACCTTGATCGTTGCACGTATTGGCAAAGACGACCATCACGTTGGCATGAGCTCACGCTGCGCACTGCGAGGCCAGGGCTGTTATGATTATGGGGAAATTGGGGAGTAACATGTTGCTGATGATCATGTGTTCCCCCTCCACTCACCCTATCATCCTTCCCTACCCCCCACCCCTCTCCCGTCCCTCCCGTACCCCCTCCTCCACATATTGCCTCTCGCTTCCATCCTCCCTTTCCTCTCCTCCTGCTGCTACCTCTCCTCTCTCCGTCTTCCCCTGCGGCGGCGCAGCCGTGACAGGAGAGGATGTACATTCAAAATCGAGTGAGGGTAGTGGGATGGGGCAGGGGATCTGAACAAGAAAAGTAATCACGCGGGTAAGCTCGGAGAGGAGACATGGGGGAAGGTGGATAAGGATAATGACCAGGGATGATGGTGATGATTCTGATACTGATACTGATGGTGATGATGATGATGATGATGATGATGATGATGATGATGATGATGATGATGATGATGGTGCTGATGATGGCGATGGTGATGCTAATGACGATCTCGATGACGATGACGATGATGAAAATGATGATGATGATGATGTCAATACTGATGTGGATGCTGATGATGATGATCATGATGATGTTGATGATGGTGGTGATGACGATGATGACGCTGATGCTGCTGTTGATAGTGATGTTGATGCTGATGATGATGCTGCTGACGACGACGATGATGATGCTGCGGATGTTGCTAGTGATGAAAGTGGTGGTGATGGTGGTGCTGATTATGATGCTGACGCTTGTGATGTTGATGCTAATGACGATGATGCTGCTGATGCTGACGGTGGTGATGATGATACTGTTGCTGATGATAATGTTGTTGGTGATGGTGATGCCTATGTTGGTGATATGTGCTGGTTGTGGTGATGACGCCAACGACGACGACGATGAGGATGATGGTGATGATGGTGGTGATGATATCGATGACGATGACGTCTATTATGATGATGCTGTTGATGCTGATGATGATAATGACGATCATTATGCTGGTGGTGATGCTGCTGGTGATGACGATGGCGAGAATAATGATGACGCTGGTGATGTTGATGATGATGATGATGATGATGATGATGGTGGTGGTAGTGGTTGAGGTGGTTGCGCTGCTGTTGGTGGTGATGTTGGTGATGCTGATGATGATGATGACGATGGTGGCGATCATGATTAGAACGTTGATGCTGATGGTGCGTGTGATGGTATTGGTGATGATGTTGGTCAACGTGAGGATGGTGATGACGATGATGATGACGATAGTGATGATGATGGTGATGATGATGATGCTGCTGACGATGATGATGCTGAAGACTAAGATGAGGATGAGGATGAGGCTGATGATGTTGATGATGATTGTGGTGATGGTCATGGTGCTGATGATTGTCATGATGATGATGATGCGAGGGAGTTGCAGAAGGAGGGAGGAGGACGAAGATAACGGGAATGAGGAGGAGGAGGAGGAGGAGGAGGGGGAAGCGATGAGAACATCATAGAGGAGGAGGAGGAGGAGGAGGAGGAGGAGGAGGAGGAGCAGGAGGAGCAGGAGGAACAGGAGGATGAGGAGGAGGAAGAGTAAAACTGCATGGCGATGGGAATGATTCTGAGGATGAGGATTCATGTGGTCGGAAGTAGAGCACGAGGATCCATAGAGTGGAGAGGACGAGAACGAATGAGGAGGATGCAGAGGGGAGGAGGGCGATGACGAACATCACGAGGACGTCGAGGACGACGGGAAGGACGGGAACGGACAGAGGAGGAGCTTGAGGAGTCCTCCTTGAGAGCATCGTGGCCGAGATGGGAGTCAGCGCAAATGCAGGACATGAGTGGCAGCAGGAGAATGAGGAGTGCCATTGCATTGCACGTTTCTATTCAGGGTGTCGATTCGCATTTGAAGCCGAAGCCGTCGCATTGCAGACCGCATCGTGTAAGTTGCATCCCGCATATCCTCGGGGAAGTAGAACGGGCAGCCGATGTGCGTACGCCGCACGAGAAAAAGAAGAAACTTAAGACTAATAAGAAAAAGACGACGACGAAGCGGGGGATCGCCATGAAGCAAAGGAGGCCCGAGGGAACCAGGCCCTTGAGCCTATGCCGGTCCCCAGATTCGGTTCTCCACGCCGAGTAGGCGTTTGACGGTCTTGGGGCAAGTGGATGGCCCCGCCCCCCTCTTCCCGAAAACGGTTGGCATTGTACAGGTCACCCGTTCCCCCAGAACCCGTTTGAGGAGGCTTTGTGGCTCCCTTGGGGGTCTCTCGGCGCCGCCTGTGTTGGTTGCTGGAGGTGTTCACGGTGGAGCCGCCCCTCCCTGCGGGCCTCGAGGCCGCCGCATTTGCACCGTTTGCCAGGGGCAAGATGGATGTTGGGGACTCGTCGTTGTCATCGTCCCTCCCCTGAGCTTCCGTGCCTCCTCCGCCTCTTCGTCTCGTCTCTTCAATTCGCTTCCCCTCCACTCTGGGTCCCCTCCGTTTCCTTTTCTTCCCTGCATGCATGCGCATGTGTATACGTATGTATGCACGTATGCAGGTACGTGGATGAGGAAATACGTATGGATGCATGCATGCACGTACACCAGATAAGGAACCTATGTGCAACTGTGTATGCACGTGTGCCTATATGTATGTCTGTATGCATAAACGTTTATGTGTGTTTGTATGTATGCATGTATGTATGTACGTATGTATAATTGGTTGCATCCATTTATGTATGCGTGAGACTATGTATGTCTGTATGTATGTATGAGTGTATGTATGTGTATATATACATGTGTATGTGTATGCATGTATGCATGTATGTCTATAATGATCATATGAGGGCTGGTGTTCTGGAAATGCCCAACGAGTGCCTGCAAGTGAAGACTGGACCAAAGCGGTGCCTGATTCCTTTTCGGACGCGAGGCTGCTCCCAGCTTGTTGTATCGGGTGTGTTTAAACGGATCACGCCTGCCTGAGCCTATATATCACACTGTCGGCGGACAAGGAACTCACGCCACTGAAAGAAAGGCCCAGGGTGGGTCGGGTGGGGGCGCCGAAAGGTGCTTGAGGACAAACAGTTGCAGAGCACCCCGCCCGCCCGACTCGAACTCAACATTTCACGAATACACGCGCATGCTGCTTTCTCCCATAATGATCATAAAGGGAGGCTCGAGTTCTGGAAATTCCCACAGACTGCCTGGAGCTGAAGGCTGGACCAAAGTGGTAGCTGACTCTTTTTCGGACGCGAGACTGCTCCCAGCTTGTTGTATCGGGTGTTTTTAAAACGGATCACGCCTGCCTGAGCCTATATATCACACTGTCGGCGGACAAGGAACTCACGCCACTGAAAGAAAGGCCCAGGGTGGGTCGGGTGGGGGCGCCGAAAGGTGCTTGAGGACAAACAGTTGCAGAGCACCCCGCCCGCCCGACTCGAACTCAACATTTCACGAATACACGCGCATGCTGCTTTCTCCCATAATGATCATAAAGGGGGGCTCGAGTTCTGGAAATTCCCACAGACTGCCTGCAACTGAAGGCTGGACCAAAGTGGTAGCTGACTTTTTTTCGGACGCCAGACTGCTCCCAGCTTGTTGTATCGGGTGTTTTTAAACGGATCACGCTTGCCTGACACACAGGCGACGGACAAGGAACTCACGCCACTGAAAGAAAGGCCCAACCCCGGCACGCGCTCGCAAAACTCACATCCGACACAAAAGGGGTCAGCCCATACCCGCCCCTTCGAGAGTCATCAACAGATTGAGAAACCATCTTCGAGCAACGCTAGAGCGACGTGCCCTGCCCACTGAGCGGCCATGAGTACTTGGAGCAACCCTCTGCGGACCCGAGCCGCGAGGTCTCCAAAGACAAAACGGGTGCAACGGGGTCTCGCTGGATCGGCCTGTCGGGGAGCGCTAAGGGGAACCTATTGAGTGAGTTATTCAGGGGCTCTGACATCTGCTCACGCTCTACACTGGGGTCCAAGTCGAGAGCTGACCAAGAGTGTTCACCAAGGCGCACTCGAAAACGGTTTCAGCGGCACTCCATTGGATGCCTGAGTGTCCGGTGTCGAGCATGACTGCCTCAAAAACAAACGCACGAAACACATGTCCAGGGCTGCGCGCGGCTGTGGCCTGAAATCAGCGGCTGCCTCACGGACACGGCCGCGGCCGCCTGGATCAGCGCGGCCTTCTCTGAGTCGGCCAGCATTTGGACCGCCTCTTCCCCTGAGGTCTCCAGCCAGGTCGCCAGAACGTCGCCGTCGTCGGCTGCAGTACGGCGAGCTGCCAGGTCGTCACGGATACGTTGTGCACGTCAACTCCTCGCCAACATTTCTGAGGCGATGTCAGGGACGACCTGGCCACTCTTAGGGGAAAACGTCGGAGCCGATGAGGTCATCGAAGAGGCGGCCTGGATGCCTGAGATCATAACCGAGCTCGCGGATTCGGTGGCGGAGCCACTGAGCCTGGCACCGATGAGACGTGCGCGAGGGGCCCCGGTCCCAACCAGGAGGCGAGGGCGAGCAAGGTCGCGGCTGCGCCTCCCTTGGTCGGCACGGCTGCGGCCGGCCCAGCTCCGCCCCAGCGCCGCGCGCGCTTGGCCCAGGTCCTGGCCGTGCTTGGGCGGGCTGCGGCCGAGCGCTTAGGGGCCGCGCGCGGGGCCCCCGCCGCGGCCCTTGCGGCCGCCAGCGCCAGCGCCAGCGCGCCCGGCTCCTCGCGGGCCTAGGCCTCGGCCGCGGTCGGCGGCGCCACCTCCCAAGCCTCCGCCGCCCCCTGGGGCGGCGCTGGCGGCGGGCCCGCCGAGGGGCGCGGCTCCGCCCGACGCCCCCCTCGTTTTTCTCCCAGCCCGTCGGCGGCATCCAAGCGCCCCTCTGGGAGGTAGAGCTCGAACTTGTCGCGGGCCCAACTGATCGCTTCTGACAGCCCTGCTCTCGCGCACCTGGTGATGATGTCGCTGGCGGCGACCGCGTCGATGTAGACCCTGGTGGAGCTCTCTGAAATGCGCCTGCCTGTCTCTTCGACCTCGGCGAAGGGCGCCCCGTCCGCCACTGGGTCAGACGCGAATCCTGCCCGAGGAGAGCGGGGCGCCCACCCCGCGGCTGCGCCCGAACTCCCCTCGATGGTCTTGAGCGCGCGACGGTGGCGGTCGATCGAGCACGTCAAAAACGCAGGCCGAGGTAGGCGTAGCAGCAACGATGCGAGACTTAGGACGGATGAGGACCTCCTTCCTCGCGAATGATAGCGAACTGCACTCTCTTTGCCTTGGCCCCCGTGCGGGGCCCCAGGGCGATGGCCATATTGCGTTGCAGTGAAGCTCCTCCTGTCCACGACGGCAATGCGACATCCTCTGGTCAGATTTTCAACATCTCTGAAAGTCGAAGTCCACGTCTAGCTTGCGGACGGCAGCGCGCCCACGGCCGAGCGGCGCCGCGCGCTTTGTCAGTGCGCTCACGGCCCAGGCCGCCAGCACGGCCCTCGCCCAGTGTAGACGCCCCTTGAATCGGGGAAAACGAAACTCCACGCTCGCCAGCAGGTGCGTGAATTGGCTGCGCGCGAGACCTGCCTCGCTCTGGAAATCCACCAGATGGTCGCCCCAGGCCTCAGCGCAGTCGGGCTGGAAGATGCACTCCTCCAGCCACGTGGAAAATGGCTACCCGGCGGCTCGGTATCGGGCGGGCGTCGCTGGGGTGATTTTGCTAAAAGCTGGAAGGATAGAGGCGACGCGGTCCCGTCGTTCCGCTCCGACCCCTGCTCATCAGCACAACTCAAGCGAGAGACCCGGACAGCTGGCTGCTTGCTGGTCTCGACCCACGGGATGATGAGTCGAATCCTGGCCGCCAGGCAGGCGGTGGTCTTCTGGCGCAGAAGTCGGTTGACCTCGACAGCCGGCGAGCGCCCCTTCACCATGGCCCCTGCCACGGGCCTGTTGTCCTGCAGCGAGAAGATCGCTGGCCTGTGCATCTGGGGCGTTAGGGCCAGCCTGCGCGCCGGCCTCGCCACTGCTCGGCCTTCTCCCAAGGTGACGCGGTCCACGCGGACCCAGCGGCCATGCTCCACCATTTTCCAGTCAACCTGCCCGTTGAACAACTTCTGCGGCAACTTGGCGAAGGGCATGGCACGCCTGATCTCCTTCTCGGGGCCCTTCAAGCCCGCGAAGCTGCACTCCAGCATCCACCGACTCGAACATCACCATGTCGGAGACGTTCCTTGCGACGACGCCGCGCCCGCCGCCGCCGAGCCCCGAGGCCCCCGCGGCGTCCGCGGCGCAGAACGCGTTGGCCAGCGGAGCCCCGACGTCGGCGACCACGAAAAGGACGGCCCTCGCCACGGTCCGCAGTTCGCGACGAACCGACAGCCAGGTTCGGGCCCATCGCTCGAGAGACAGGTCGAGGAACTCGAAAACTTGAAAGCGGCGGAGGTGATACTGAGCATATATCCTTCCGCGCCCATGAACCCACAACATATCGCGCGTCGTCGGCGTGGGCCCGCTCGGCTCTCGCCAGACGCTCAAGCTCCTGCACGATGGCCACCTTCTTCTTGGGTGGCCTCAGACTGGCGGGTCGCTGAACCACCTCGTAGCCCTCGGCCTTCGACAGCCCCCCTGCTGGTGCGCGATCGTTCGCGACGAAGCCCGCGGCTTCCAGCCTGTCGGCGAACTGCCCCATCTGGCCGCTCGCGGCCCCGGGGTACTCGCCCGCGCCCATGCGCGCGTAGTCGCCCACATGAAGGTAGAAGCCCAGCTGCCGCTGCCGTAGCACCAGCCCTCGGCCTCGCGCTGCGTCCTCGTTCGGGATGGCCACCGACCGATGGAGCGGGCGCCGCCCCCCCCCCCCCCCCCCGGCAGAGACCTTGGGTCTGGCGCCCTCGGGTACCTGGCCACTGGCGGGCCCGGCGTTCTCGGCGTAAAGACCCTGCGGCGTGTCGAACACCATGGGGGCTAGCTTGTTGCAGAGGATCCCAGGGTACGTCTGTAGCCGGCCCGCGTTGAACTGGCCGAGGCTATCCTTGCCGTCCGACCGAGCATGCGCGCGACCGCCTCCGCACCGTAATCCCTTCAAGCCCTCCAGGCTTCGCAGCGTGCCTGACGTGCAGGTGGCCTTCTTGGCCAGACCGCCGAACTGGCGCTGGTCGAGCAGGGCTCGGGCGGTCCTCGTCCGCTCCTCCAGCGCCATCATCTCCGGCGCGTCCCGCGGCGAGGGGAAGGGGGCACCCCCCAGGCCTTCTGGTTGCCCCGCGAGGTGGCAGCCTCCATTCGCCACGACCGCCTCGCACATGGCCATGGGGTTTACCGCGGGCACGTTGGCCTCGAGGACTTGACGCTGCCCCCGCGGCCCGAGGTCGGGTAGGCCCCAGACCCAGCGGCCACGCTAGCGCGCCGGTCGGGGCCCATGCCCAGGGCTGCTGCGGCGCGCGCGCGAGGAGGTAGAGCACGGAGGCCCGCCCAAGACCACGTCGATGAAGCCCCCCTTGCACGAGCTCATCAGCTCGTCGAGCGCGCCAGGCATGGCCGCGTCCCAGGCCGCATCCGTCGCGAGGGCCGCGTGGAGGAACAGCAGCTCCATGCCGGCCCCTTCGCAGCGCGGCTCCAGCTGCGCCCGCGCGTCGCCGCTCCGCCCCCCGCCTGCGGACAGGCACGCGACCGCGAAAACGCGGCAGCGGCGGCGCCTGGCATCGCGGGCGGCCCGGGCCCAGCTGGCCGCCGCATAGCCCGACTGCCCTGCGCCCATCGACTTGGCCACATCTTTATGCAGCCCCCCTTTCTCGTCATTCGCGCCCAGGTCCCCTGGGTCGTCTTCCTCGCGCGGGTCGCGCTCATCCAAGCTGGGCCGGGCGAGGTCGCCGCGGCCCTGCGCGAGCCGAGCACCCGACCCCGCGAGCGCCCGGCCCACCGCGGCGAGGTCGACGCACATCAGGATGTGCACCGAGTGAGAGCCGCCCATGGCCAGGCGGTGGCGCAGCGGGGCCACCCGCCCCTGCTCCGTGACTTCCTGCCGCACCTCCGGGGACAGCAGGTTCCATGCGCGCCGGGCCTTCAGCGGGGGGGTGCCTGCCATCGAGCGTACCGCTGTGGGGCGCGGATCCTGGTGAACGCGTTTTTCTCGTCAAACGCGGCGAGCTCCCAGCGGTCCGCAGGCGCCGCCACTTGCGCCGACGCCTCGCCTCCCGCCGGGCCACGGTCGGCCCGCTCATTGGGATCGATCCACATGTAGTTGGCGGGGGCGTTCGTCAAGGCCTTGCGCTGCTTCGTGGGGTCCTTCTTGGGCGCAGCATTAAAACCCCCGAAAGCCATGGCCTGGGGGGCGGGGGCGAACCACCGCATTCCCCTTGGAAGGTCCTCTCGACGCAGGTAGGTGGCGCGGTCCTCCTCCGCGCCGTTCACGATGGAGCGCTGGTTCTCAAGCTCGCAAGCACGGTGTCAGCCTTGCCCGCGTAGGAGACCTCGTTGGCCCCATGCTCGTAGAAGCGCCCCTCGTGCTCCCGGGGCGCCGAGAGCATGTCAACAATGGAGTCGCCCTTCGGTTCGTCAATGTCAAGAGGTCGCATCGGTACATGCGCGACTCGCATGGCCCCCAGAGTCCGCGCATAGCTTTCAGGGCCAGCGACCTCCTGCGCACGTCCGTCGGGCGGGCCGCCTGTCGGCCTGAGGCCCCGACAGTCGCGCTCGAAGCTAGCCGCCTCCGTGAGCGCGCAGGCGCGCGCGCGCTCCTCCAAGCCACTCGTCGCCAAAGAAGTCCTGGCCGAACGTCTCGTCGACGCCGTCTGAGTGTGGCCCGCGTCCAGGCCGTCGATTAAGTCAACCGTGCCTACTGCCCGTCGCCGCGCCCGCGCGCGCCGTGCCACGCGGGCGCGGAGGCGGCCGCTGCGGCCGCCCCCCCCCGCTGAAGAGGTCGCGCTGGTAGAGGTGCGGGACACGGAGCGTCCTCCATCGCCGGCAGGTCCTGCAAGAACTCGGCATCCGCGGAGCGAGCCCGGGCGCGGCGGCCCACGGGCACCCGCCGCGGCGGCGCCTTGCGGGGCGCCGGGGGAGGGCTCGCAGGACGAACCCCAAACATATATTTACTTGGTTTTATCATGTTCCGGGATTGTTGACCAGGGTTGGTAGTGTCCCTTTCGAAAAAATTAGGAACCTGGGGTTTAATGTTCCGGGACATACTGACAGGGGTTCATAATGTTGCTTTGGAACAGTATAAACCTTGATGTATAATGTTCCGACCCCAAGAAGATATTAACATGGGCTCATAATTAATTGTTTGGGAATATTGACCGGGGTTAATACTGTCTTGGGAATGACGAACCCCGGTTTGTTACTCTGGAGTGGTAACGATGGAGGCTGATGGGGCGTCGCCTGAGCCAGAGGCGGATATTCTGAATCCAGGCTCATGATTTCGGAGTGATTTCAATTATTTTTGTCCCCCAGCCTTGCGCCTCCAAGCTCGGATTCATTATGTTCGACTTTTGACCCTAGTCCGTTATCTCTAGAACATCATAATTTGGCGACGGAGGGGGGGGACGCCTGAAAAGGACATTTGACTGGGATCAACCCTGCTTCATAATGTCGGAATATCGACCCCAGATGCATTATTCCGAATTGAAAATGATCTGGCGAGTGGGGGGACATCGATCCATCCACAGGCCAATATTCCAATGGGGGTATCATCTGAACATAACGAACATATATTTATCATTCGTGGATAATCAACCGCGGTGGACGAGAATTTCGGGGCCACCCTCAGGGCTCGCGAGGCTCCCGTGGCCCCCGGCGCGTCGTTAGCCCTGGGGGCGGCCGCGCCCTTGTCGGGCCTCGGCCGCGACCGCCTCCTCGCGCTTCGCCACGGGCTGCTCCTGCGCCGCCACCTCCGTCAGCTGCTCCGTCGTGTCCTCCACCAGTTCCTCCTCGTCCTGGTCCCCGTCCGGCACCTCCTCCGCCGCCACGTCCAGCTCCACGTCCCCCTGGAGGTCGGTTGGCTGCCTCCACCCTCTCGGCCCTCTGGTGTTCCATCTTCGGGTGGGCCGTGGCTTCCGTGACGAGCCACGTCGGAGCCAGGTGGACCCCGGCCCCAGGAGGGGGGATGGCAAGCATTTTCTTGCCGCCCGAGTTGTCGCCCGTCCGTGTGTCGTGTACGTACCTCGCGATCCTCCTGAGGTTCATCTCTAGCCCGTCGTCGCTGGCCAGCAGATTGAGCAGCTCGACCTGTGACTTGACTCGGGCCGTGGCAAAATCGATGGACGTGGCAGCGTTCCATAAGTCCGTCCACAGCTGTGCGCTCTTTCTGCCTGTGCACTCTTGTGCAAACCAGTCGCGTGCCGACGCGGCCCCCGCGCTTCGCATGGACCGGTAGATATCGGGGGCGGCCCGCTTCAGGTCGGGCGGCAGGCTCACGTTCCACCTGGCGAGCTCCTGGTCCTGGGTGAGGCCGAACTCGCCTAGCGTAAGTAAGCCGTCTCCGCCCAGCGCGCCCATGCCGTGGGCGGGTTTGGCGTGCAACGCGACCAGCTCCAGCTCGCTTTTGAGGGACTCGCGTGGCCGCGATCTGGTGGCGGGGCGCAAGTAGCCGTGGGACATCAGCAATCGCATGACCTCCTGCTCGAAAGGCTCAGCCTTGTGAGCCTGCGCCACCCACTGCCAGAACGACCATGCCCAGTACGGGTTGATGGACTGCTGCGCCATCGCCGACATCAGGGCCTCCTGCACTCGAGCGGCCTGGGTCTTCACCTTGGGCTGATAGCCCTGGGCGAACGGAGCATACACGTCTGCGGCATCCGCTGCAGCTCCGACGGCCGTCCTCGAGAGCGGTCCTCGGGCGTTCGGTTCTCCACGAAGTCGCGGAACGTCTCCACCGTCCCACTGACCGCGGGCGGCGGCGCCAACCCAGGTGCCGCCGCAGGCGGCGGTGCCTCGGGCGGCGGCAGCGGCGGGGGGAGAGGTGGGGCCAGCGGGGGCGGCCCAGGCGCGGCCTGTCCCGCGACCGCCGGCACGCCCTCCCGCAGCTTCTCGTTCTCCGCCCGCAGCTCGGCGAGGGCCTTAGTCTCCGGGCTCTCGGCGAGGGCCGTCGTCCTGGTGGGCTTGGTCCCGCCGTTGCTCCCGAACAGGTCGCCGCGCTTCACGGCCTGGTCCTCGGCGGCGCAGAACGCCCGCCTGCGGCACCACATGTGCCAACGGGTGCGGGCACTGCGCCAGCTGCCCCACGCCATGGCCGTCGTGCAGCTCGCCGCCATCAGGTAGCCAAGGAATCTACTCCGTCCCGTCTCGGCGCCTAGGACCACCGCCATGGCCGCTACGGCCAGGACGCCCGCCCATCCCACGAGTCGATCGTAGTAGGCTGGCGCGCGTCCCTGGGGGTCCTCGCCGATCACCTGCGCCCGCAGGTTCATCGCCATGTCGTTCCAGGCCTCCAGGTCGTCTGGCAAGTTCTTCAGCTTCTCGGCGCAGCCCGTGCCAATGACGGCCCCGTGATAGGCCTCCCACAGCATGTCGCCGAAGTGGTCCACCTCGAGGGGGACCTTCAGCGTGAGCCATCTCGCGAGGGGCTCAGCAGCCCGCGCGACTAGCTCGACCTCCTTGCGACCGAGCCCACGGCTCAGCCGTCTCTCACCGCACGGCGACAGGCCATGATCGCGGCCATCACGTCGCGCTCCTCCGGGCCTGCTGCTCCTCCCCAGGCGGTGACCGTCTCGGCGGCCGCCCGCCTGGAGGCCAGGCTCGGCTTCATCTCCCGTGGTGTGTGAGGCCCTCGGCAGCACGCCATCAAGTCCTTGGGGCCTAGGGAACGCGACAGGTGTGGCCGCGAGCCACTGGGGCCCTGGCCCCGAAAAGTGTTTGAGGACAGACAGTTGCAGAGCACCCCACCCGCCCGACTCGAACTCAACATCCCATTAATACACGTGCATGCTGCTCTCTCCCATGTATGTATACGTATGTTCATGTATGTAAGTATGTATGTATGCATGCATACATGCATGCATGCATGCATGTATATATGTATGTATGTATGTATGTATGCATGCATGTATATATATGTGTGTATGTATGTATGTATGCATGCATGTATGTAGGTGTATGTATGTATGTATGTATGTATGTATGTATGTATGTATGTATGTATGTATGTATGTATGTATGTATGTATGTAGGTGTATGTACGTATGTATGCTTGTATGTATATATAATGCATGTGTGTATGTATGAGTGAATGTATGCATGATTGCATGCATGTGTGCCTGTATGCATGTATGTATGAATGTATGTATGTATGTATGTATGTATGTATGCATGCATGCATGTATGTATGTATGTATGTATGTATGTATGTATGTATGTATGTATGAGTGTATGCATGCATGCGTGTATGTATGTATGCATGCATGCATGTATGAATGCGCGTGCGTATTGCGTATCACGTATTTACGTATGTGCATGTACGTATGTAAGTTCATAGGTAGGTAGGTGGGTAGGTAGGTCGGGTTGAACGATGTGAATGGTTTCTTGCGGCGGTCAGCTGCACCCTCCCTACCCTCAGCGCAGGTGCTCTCGGCGAGCAGCAGCCCCGGGGCACGCCAGGTGACTGGCCACGCCCCCCGGCTCGGCTGCAGGCTCTGGCCGCGGGGCGTGACGGTGCGCCCCTCGCCGCTCCCCTCCGGCCCGGTGGGTGTCCCCCGCCCGTGCCCTCGAGGCTTGCCCGTGGCGGTCGTGATGGCCGGTGGCCTTCTCCTCCCACTCGCCCCGCGGGTCGCGCTGCCCCTGGTCTTCTTGATCATTTCAGCGTCAGCTCCACTGCGTGGGGTGAATCTGGTGTGGGGCCGCGCTTGAGCTCACGGGCAGCGCCGCGCGGCAGTCTGGGGTGGCTGGCCTCCTCAGCCTCACTTCAGAAGGACCCTCCCTGGCAGGCAGCGCTGACGTCTCCACCACCATGTGCCGAGCCTCACCAAATGCCGGCGGTGCGGCACGCCGTCGGCCCTCTTCGCGGCAGGGCCCGGTGGCACAGTTGCGCCTTGGGCCGTCGCTGGCCCCCATGCCTGTGGCCCCCCCCGCGCACCGGCTCGGCCGCCAGCGGGCCTATCCGCTTCAGGTGCCGGACTCGGTGCGCCTCGGGTCGCCGCTGGCCTCCCCCGGCTGGGCGGAGGGTTCTGAGGTAGAGCGCTGGGTGGTTCAGCCTTCCGCGCTCGCGCAGCCCTGTGTCTTTTCCCGCGCTCTGCCCCAGCCGTTCGTCGTGGGCAGGTGGCCTGGAGTCTGGCGCCGGACCGGCGACTCACTGTGTCATTCCGCTGTCTTCGCACATTCCCCCGCAGCTCGTTTACTTCGGTTCACGCTGCTGCGCCTATGTGCGTTGCTGGTGAATTTAGTTCATTTTGCTCTGTGCATGTGCAGCTGCGAGCTTGTTTTGCAGGTGCGAACTGGCTTGCCGACATTGGTGGCCGTGTTAGCAAATTCGCACCGCGCCGCATCCCGGACGCTGCTTCCGCTCCGTGACTTTTGCCTTGGGCCGCCGACCAAAAGTATCCTCACCAACCCTTGGTGCATGTCGGTGATGGTGGACCGCTTCCGACTTCTTGGCCCTGGCGCCCCCAGCTCACCGCAGCGCAGCTCGGCGGCTTAGGCTGCTTAGGTTTGACCCCGCGCTCTAGTTTGCTGCTCGCTGTAAATTAGTAAGGACCGCGCCCCAGACTTACCGACCCGCCGCCTGCGCCTTCGCTTGCGGCCGCGACCAAAAAACATCCTCACCAGCCCATCCAGAAACGATCAGCAGGGGAGTCGGTGAATCAGGGGCGGCAGGACGCATGCGGTTGCGCAGCCGTCTTCGGGAAAACAAGGATCACAAAGAGCTTCCCGCATTGAAGTTTAAGATGGGAACCCGTGCAAGCTACCATGGTGCTTCGGTGAGGGGTGAGGGGTGTTTCGATGATTCGTACTGTCTGCTGCACTGAATTGTAGATTAAACTCGCGTGCGTTTCGAAACTTGGAGCCATCTTGGGGCTCTCTTGGGGTTCTCTTGGGGCCCTCTTGGGGCCATCCTGGAGCTCTTTCTTGGGCTCTCTTGAGGTCCTCGTAGGGCTTTCTTGGAGCCCTCTTGAGGCTCTTTTGGGGCGTCTTGGGGCCCTCTTGGGGTTCATTCGGGGGGTCTGGGGGTCTTCTTGGGGCTCTGTTGGGATGCCTGAGGGGCCTCTTGGGGCCGTCTTGGACCCTTTTCGCTAAAAAAGAGCGGGGGTCCAATTCCCATCGCCCACCCAGAGGCTCAAGCATGCCGTCTTGGAGCTATATTGGCCCGCTCTTGGGGCCGACTTGGGGCCCTCTTGGGCCCCTATTGGGGCTGTCTTGGGCCATTTGGGGGCCGTCTTGAGGCATCAAGAGCCCATCGGAGGCGAAAGAGCGAGAAGTCAAACCACATTGTTTTTCCTTTGATATTTGAAGGATGCTGGCCTCTTGGGGGGGGGTCCTTGGAGGCCTCGGAGGGCACTTGAAACCGTCTTGGGGTCGTCTTGAGACCTCTTGGACGTGTGTCGGAGGCTATCTTGACCCATCTACCGCTATCTTCGGCCATCTTGGACGCCATCTTGCGCTCTCCGAGGCCCTCTTGGAGCCATCTTGGGCCAAAAAGGACCCTCTAACCCCTCGCGGGGGAGCCCGTCAAAACGCGTGTGGGGGGAGGTGAACCTCCCGAGCAGGGAAACCTCCGAGGTTGGGACAGGAAACGCCCTAGACCATCTTCGCCCAGAGGGTTGGTGGGATTCCTGAGTTTGATGACGTTGTTGACGCACTGGGTGTGCTGGTGACCGGCATCCTTCCAAACTCCATTTGCCTTGCGCACCGATTCGATTGCCAAAGTTGAGTTGACGTCCGACGCCGCGGAGGGACTGCAAGTGGGCAGTACGTTTCTGCAGCATTTCTTTGATCTGCTCGTCGGTCGTGGTGGTCAGAAGCTGCTTGAGAGACGTGACCTCTTCCACTGCGCTTGGTACTGAAGCTTGGGTGCTGTCCACGGTATCCGCCTTCGTGTCAGATGCTGCGCGAGGCTTGTATGGGTGAACTACGCGGCCGAATTTGAAGCAATTGCACTGATTCTGAACCAATGTAGTGTTCCGCTCGAAGCGGCCGCACGCTTTGCACTGATTCCAACTGTTCTGACCGTTCTGGGACTGCGCTTTCGAAGCGATACCCATGGCTGCTGACTCTCTCTTTTGTCACCGCAAGTGGCAATCCAGAAGACTGGGGCGTGTGCGATGGACCTCAAGCGCCTCGGGACGGCAATAGAGCGGCTCAGGCAAAATGCTTGAGCCCAAGTGGCTTGAGAGGAGGAGTTGGAGGAAAAGAGGAAGAGAGGAGGAGCAGGATGAGGAGGAGAAGAGGGCGAACTGGGGGGCGCGCGGCGATCACTGCCACCTAGCAGTTTTTTGACGGGGGCGGCAATACTAAAGACCTAAGTTTTGACTGGGGGCAGGAGAAGGAGAAGCGGAGGAGCTGGCGCACAGAGGAAACCGCCCGGCCGCCCCCAGCTCGATCCGAGCAACGGGCGGATCACTGGCGAGCTGGACGCCGAGGCCCCGCCCCCGCCGGCTCCGCCCAACCCTTCACGATGGGCTTCCGATGTTTCCGCCCGTCAGTTGTTCTTCCACCTCTTCGAGGTGGACGGGGAGCGGGAGTCAGGGTCGGCAGATTCGTCCGCCCATCAGTGGCTCCTTCACCTCCTTGAGACGGATGGGCAGGTTCCTCGAGGCGGAGGAGAAAGCTGGAGTCAGAGGTTGCCTGGTCGACCCCTGGCAGGCCGACCCCTTCCCTGACGATCTTGGGCGGGGTTCCGAGGGCGACGGGGTTGTCACATCAGGAGCTTGTCCCAGACAGGGTGTGTTAGGCCGCGTCGGGGGGAGGATCCAGGCACCACAAATGGGGCTGGAGGAGACGGGGCCGGAGGGTCGCGGGTCGCTTCGCATCGTCGATTCGATGCGACCTGGAGCCCTGCCGTCTCCGTCCCGACGTCGCCGGTGCATCGCCAATGCATCGGCGATGCGGCGCGATCCTCCGACCCCATCTGCTCCATGTGGGAGGCCTCCAGAGGAGGGGGCCAGATGGGGAGAATCAGACGAATGAGGTGTTAAGGGGGTTGGTTATCCTAGAAGTTTCCTGGGGCTTTTCAAACACTCAGCGTGGAGTTTTTTTTTGAGTGGAACCCGAAACGTGTGTTACGGGGGTCGCCCCCAGCCACCCCGTAACGGTAGCGAACGTACGCGTGGGTGGTGCCGGCTCCCCTTTCGGTTTCTCGTTATATTCTCAGGCGCGTTGTGTGCGGGCAATATTTATATCCATATCCAGTGCGTCTTGGACTTTCTTGGAAGGGGCGCCGCAAGGCCGAGGCGCACTGGATATGGATAAACATGGAGCATTTTGAAGGCAGATTATGATCCATATCCAGTGCGCCTCATGTTTCGTGGGAAGAGAGTCCGAAACTCCAAGATGCACTGGATGTGGATAAAGACATTGCCCGCATTGTGGTTTTGACAGGCATACTGTGATGCTCACGAGCATGCTGTGGCGCTCGCAAGCATCTGGTTCGCGGGGGATGCCAGGAACACCAGGAAGTTCCTTGAATGTGGTGTTGTTGCTGTTGCTGTTGCTCCTGCTCTTGCTCAGGTGTTCATCCTGCTCATCCTCTGGTGCTCCTCCTCCTTCAGTGCATTTCCTGCTGGTCCTTCTGTTCCTCCCGCTGTTTCTCCCGTTGCTCCTCCTGCTGTTGTTGCTGCTGCTCCTGCTGCTGCTCCTCCTGCTGTTCCTCCTGCTCTTCCTCCTGCTCATCCTGCTGCTCCTCCTCCTGCTACAGTTGCTCCTCCTCCTGCTGTTCCTGCTGCTGCTGCCCGCTCTCCTCCTGCTCCTCCCGGCTCTTGCTGTTCCTCCTGCTGGTCCTTTGGCCGCCATTCCTGCTCTTTCCGTGTCATTTCTTGCTGCGCTTGCTGCTGCTCCTTTTGCTGTTCCTCCTGTTGCTCCTCGTGATGCTGATTTCCAGCTCCTCCTGCAGATTATTATCCGTAAGGGCTTCGCCCCATGCCGCCAGCCCCCTGTCTCGGATAATAGGAGATGCAAAAGCTAAATCATGAGGTCTGGGCGCCGCCGTGAAGCAGTGTCGGGACCTGTTTGTTTTTCGACCCTGACCCTACGGATCTGCGTGAGGGGTGCCACCGAATTTCAGAAATTTGGCCAATCCTGTGTGTTTTTGGACCCTATGGATCTGCGTGAAGGGGTGCCGCCGAATTTCAGAAATGTGGCAAATCCCTTGTGTTTTTGGACCCTGACCCTGCCGATCTGCGCGAGGGGTGCCGCCGAATTGTAGAAATATGGCAAATCCCATGTGGTTTTGGACCCTAACCCCGCCGATCTGCGTGAGGGGTGCCACAGAATTTCAGAAATGTGGCAAATCTCATGTGTTTTTGGACCCTGACCCCGCCGATCTGCGTGAGGGGTGCCAGCGGATTTCAGAAATGTGGCAAATCCTTTGTGTGTTGTGCACTCTGACCCCGCCGATCTGCGTGACGGGTGCCAGCTAATTTCAGAAATGTAGCAAATATGTTTTTTGGGACCCTGACCCCGCCGATCTGTGTGAGGTGTGCCAGCGAATTTTCGAACTGTGGCAAATCCCATTTGTTTTTGGACCCTGAACCTGCCGATCTGCGTATGGGGTGCCATCGAATTTCAGATATATGGCAAATCCCATGTGGTTTTGGACCATGGCCCCGCCGATCTGCGTGAGGGGTGTAAATTTTTACCCACCCTTGCAATTCAGACAACACACTCAGGGCATGGTACAATTGTCCGTTTTGGGCCTCCCCCCCTCGCGCGGTCCATCAACAAGGAGCAGTAAGCAGCAAGAGGCAGAACCGTAACAGTGGCAACTGGAAGCTGCAACTGGCACAGAAAACTTGGAACATTCGGCCTACAGCCTGGTGGCCCCACAAGGAGACCGGCGGATTATGATCATTACTACTACTACTACTACTACTACTACTACTACTACAACTACTACTACTACTACTTTTACTTCCAGTTCTATTACTAATACTATTACTAGAACGACTACGTCTACTACTATTTTCATTTCAACTATGATTGCGATTACTACGACTTCTACGACTACTACGACTACTACTACTACTACTACTACTACTACTACTATTGCTACTACTACTACTACTACTACTACGGTTACCACTCCCACTACCACCACCACTACTACTACTACTACCACTACTAATACTGCTATTACTACTACTACTACTACTACCTCTACTTTTACTACTACTACTACGATTACTACTACTACTACTTCTACTACTACTACTACTACTACTACTACGACTACTACTACTACTAGTTCTAGTCTTACTACGTCCCACGACTCTTTATACTACAACCACTATGACTACGATCTCTATAACCATTGTTTCTACTACTACTACGACACTTACGACTACCACTACAATTACTGTTCGTATTATTACTACTGCTACTCCTACTACTACTCCTTGTAGTACTACGACTACTACTACTACTACTACTACTGCTACTATCTCCGCGGCCTACTACTGCCAATACTAATAGTACTGGTCTTATTTCTACTACTACTACTACTACCACTACTACCACTATCACTAGCACTAGTATTACTGCTACTACTTTTACTACTACTACTACTACTACTACTACTACTACTGCTACTACTACTACTACTGTGAATAGAACCCGTGTAATACCATCATATATACTCCTTATCATCACCTCTCCTGCGCCTGGCCGTTTGGGCTCAGGTATTGGGACAGATCGATCAGACCTTTGATCGTGCAGGAGGGAACGACATCCATATATCCCCCCTTCCCTCTACCAACGGATCAGGGGTTCTGTACCCTTGTAATTCAACCCCACACACAGGTTATCAGCCCTTTACAGCTCACTGTTCATCGAACCCCGCGTCGCGATCTCGCACGCGGCCTCGATGGAACCCAAGCGGCGCATGCGCCGTAAGGGGTCCATCGGGGCCTCGCGTCCGAGCTCTCCGACGGCGCGACGGCTCGGTGATGAGTTGGAGAGCCTTAGTGCGGACTGTGTTGGTGTCCCAGGTACCCCCCCCCCCCCAGCTCCGACGGACCCGAGGCGCGGCTAGCTGCTGAACTTCACCGCAGCGCCGCCCGCGGGGGGACAGGAGAAGGAGTAGGAACAGGTAGGAAGGAGTTCCACACGCCTACCTTCGATCCTCCATCTCCTCCTCAGTCGGGAGCAATCCCAACTGCGTCAGGCGAAAGCCTCGCTGGTCCTGATACTCCAGGGCGCTTTCGCGCTAACCGCCGATGGACCTCAGGTGCTGGTGCCCCCAGCCCTGCGACCGTTCCTGTTGCGGAGCACGTAGCCACCTTCGAGGAACTCAGTAGACCAGTGGCGGCACAGCCGCAGACGCAGTATCCCAATGTATCATCGGATGAGACACCACACACACACACACACACGCGGTCCTGGCCGCAGCTCGTCCGCGCGCAACCGTCGTGGGGCCCCAGGCCCATGCGGCGAGAGTAGGTCGAGCCCGCGCACTGCCTCTCAGAGGCCACGCATCCCCCGCGAGAGGGGGCAGAGGGAAGCCGACGCTCCCCACCTCTCCATCTCAGACGACCAGCTGGCGGAAACGTCCGCCGCAGGTGAAGTAGCTGAGCTCAGAGACCAGGTTGAAACCTTCGTGTCCAGGCAATGCTCTGGACTACTGCAGAGCGTTCAGACGAACGCTGCCAATACTGCAGCCATACGCCAAGATCTTGACGGCGCCTTAGGGATCATCGATTCCAGGATTGCCGAAGATCGACGCATCATAGGTGAACTGCAGTACCAGGTTGATCGTGAGGTGTCATACTCAGGTGAACGAACGGCGATGCTCGAGAATCTGCGCAACTACCTAGCGCAGATGGAGCAACAGCTTGTGCTCGTACGCGACACAGGCGTTTCAGCAGTCAGGATCCTCCACGATGAGATCCACGACCAGCTCCGCAACCGACCACCACCAGCCGAGGCCACCGACCTTGGCGACATTCAGTCTCAGATCAATGATCTTCGATCCCACATAGACCACACTACGGCGACGCTTCGCAACGAAGCACACACCAACTCGTCGAACCTGATCGACATGTTGCAGCGTACTGGGGGAGTCATCACTCAAAGGCTTGATGCGACCAACGCTGTCGTGCAGCCACTCGCTAACCGGATCTCTGAAATCGAGCAGCGTTTTCCTGGCGTACAGGACGCCTTGGCAGAGTTGCGTGTCGGACGAGCCCAGACTGGCCAGCTGGATTCCCCCCCCGCGGTTTACGATTTCGCCCGCCTCACTGACAGGTTGCAGGAGGTTGAGAAGGCGGCGGACCACGCGCAGTTGGAGCTCTCCCAGGTTATTCGTGCGAGAGATACTGAGAAAGTACGTGTCGAGGGGCACCTCGCACGTCTGGAAAGCGAGCTGGAGGCACAGGGCGCCCGTCTCCGAGCCTACGAGCAACGACTTGGTCGGTACTCACAACGTTCT